TGTTTTCCTTCCCAAGTTGGGGTACCTTTTTATGGCATCCCAGAACAGTCTGCTTCCTCCTAATTCCCCAGAACATGAACTGGCTGAGTGGGTCTTGACAAGTCATCCTCATTCACACTTTCATTATCTGTAAAATGGACTTGTTGCAGAAGATATTGTGACAAAACAAAAAACTGTCAGGATTTTAAAATGGTCTTCACCCTTTAAAAAAGTGCAATAGGAATACTGAATATATCGGTGCAGAAGTGTCTCCTGACACAAGGTGCTAAGTCAACCATTAACAGAAATATAAAGAGAAAATGCCGAAACTGAGATACCTAAGCTATCTTAAACATTACTAACCCTTCACAGAAATCCTGCAAGACTCTGGCCTCAGTCTAGAGAAAGTTAATCATGTGGAAAACAGTGGGACTTAAATTAGTTGAGATGTTGCTTTCACTGGGACATATGTGTGACTAACTTCAGGACTGTAGCCATTTTTTATTCTGAATATTTCTCTCAGAATCCTTAAGGAAACATAAGTGAGGAAAGAATGACAAAATATTTTGTACAGTAGGAAGCTTAAATATATTAGCCCACAGCTCCCCAGCATATCAATTTGGAAGTAAGACATTTTATTCAATTTCTATTAAATATACCTGGATCTATTAAATATGCTGTAAATGGTACTGGGAAATAGAAGTGTGGGGAGAAAAAAAAATTCGAGTAAAGGAAACTTGGCTGCAATCCTAAGCACACTTTCCTGGAAGCAAGTCCACTGGATAAAATGGGCCTTACTACTGACTGAGTAGACCTGCTTAGGTTTGCTCTCATTATTGCCTATAGAGTTGTGTGCCACTGCTTTTCCAATTTATTATTCTACGACAGATTTTTCAGTGTTTATGCTGTTAATGTGCTGTATATCTTGAACTGGTTTAATTGTTATTGACTACTCTTATTTTATGCCCCCTTGGAAATTCAGTTGAGATTGCAGCCTCTGTGTGTGTTGACCCTGCCAAGGGGATTTCAAGACAAGAGGGACGCAGAGGTGGTTTGCCATTGCCTTCCTCTGCAGAGTCTTCCTTGGTGGTCTCCCTTCCAAGGACCAACCTCGCTTAGCTTCCAAAATCTGACAAGATCAAGCTATACCATACCAGCTTCCCTTACGTACAGTGCAGCCTAAAAGTATGATAAATAAATACATAGCATAAAGGACAGGCATACAATAGTTCCAGTGCAATCTTATGCATGTTTATTTAGAGATATATTCAGAATTACTCAGTGGGGTTTGCGCCCAAGAAATTACAGAGAGGATTGCAGAATGGTGTTCCTTGTCGAGTATTATATAAAGCAAAATGATACTCATTTTAAACATCTTTACATGCCAGATCTCAGATGCACAGTGAATGTGCAGACTCCGGGAAAAGGAAATAAACACAAGTCCTGTACACACTGATTCCTAAGCATACATTCCATGTGGTTTCAGTGGTACTGAGGCATACTTAACATTAACTGGATTGCACTTGATACACTTTAAATTCTAGTCAAAGCAGCCTTGGGCAGAGGAAATGATTTCATTTAACACAGATAGATGACTAGTCGCAGATACGTTTTGACACAAGTAGTGCTGTGAAAGAGTACATGAGTGAAATGACAGTATGCCATTGCTAGATCAAAGGAAAGGGAAAACATTTGAGCCTCACTGGAGGACATCAGTCATCCTTGAAATCATATCCTCCATGATAACCCTGAGCTTAAAATAAGCCTGGAACTGTTTGCACAGGGTGGGAAGAGTCAAAATTGACAGGGGCTCAGCCTACCAATATCCCATATGTAACAGACTCTGGAGCTGATGTGTCTTAACCAGTGCTAACTAACCCAACCCCCCTTCTCTACTGCTTTTACTGTTTGTTCAGTGATCATAAGTAGGCCAGATAAGAGAAGCTACAGTGAGACTAGAACTCTGGTCACCTGACTGAAATTTGGACCATTTAGCAACATCAGTGTTTATGTCTCTTTCATATGAATGTGGGCAAGTTATACAGGGCACATCCAGGAAGGCAAACCATGCTTCTGTGCCATTTTAAGAATAGGAGTACCACACTGTAAAGTTAGGCAAATCATATTTGGTGAAGTCAGAAAAAGATACTCAGGAGTGTTTGGGGCAGTGTTCTTCCAACAGCAGAAATAGTCTTTGTAGTAAACAGAGGTCCCAGGAACTTGTAGTGCCATCCTAAGCAGAGATATGTTTTGGATGGTTTAGTGTAGCTCTGTAAAAGTGCAGAACCTATTCTTGCAATGCTTACACAAATGTAAGAAGTTAAGGGTATTTTTTCCTTCTTCTTTTTTTAAGGAGGGGTCCATACTTCTATTTCTTCCCTCACTTTGATTTTTGGGTTAGGGGTGAAGGCTGCAAAAGATGCACACTTCTGTTTTGTACTAGTCACATGGCCTTGGGAAACAACTGCATTGAGTATGTAGGGTTGCCAAGTTCATGCTCCAAGAAGGCTCCTGTACTCTCGAGAGCTGCATAGGGTACTACAATGGAAGGAGAAGCCACAAAGGGTTAAAATGCTTCCTTTTCAGCAAATATTGGTCAAGTCTTTGAGGCAATCCATTAAAACACAAGTAAATATGCCACAACATTTTCTCTAATTCATTTCATAATCTGTGTATCACCTTCCTTCCTTCCCAGCACTCAGTCCATAACATTCTTCTGTACCTGAAAAATGCTGTCCTTCCCCATTAAAGACTAAGGGCATGGTAGGTTGCCTGGAAGGAAGGAAGGAAAGAAGGAAGGAAGGATTTATGTTGTCACTGTGTATGTGCGAAGTGCCATCAAATCTTTTTGGCAGTCTGTGGTATCCATAAAATTCACCTCCAACACCACATTTCAAATGACTGTTGTCACCACCTAGTAATTATTAACTAAATGAGCAGGTATCAACTTGTAACCCCTCTGCATCTCCATAAATGGTCACGATATTGACCCACACTTTGCAGGCAATCATCCTGCTTTTTCTCCTTTTGTCAGTCTCTTCTCTGCACAAGGCAATCTCTGCACAGCCTGGTTCAATCCAGCAGGAAGAACGGTACTTCCTTCTTTTTCTTTGCTAGTTCCAAAAAAGAGGATATAATTAAATTTTGCAAGATACCCAAGTGGGACAAAGAGATCTATAAAGTAACATTGGAAGCACGGAACACATAAAATTGCTGTTCCTGAGAGCATGCAAGCAAATGGTGGAGGCTGGAGTTAAAGGGCAGGGGAATGATAAAAGCAGGCAGCACAGAAGGCAGGGCTTATCTCCCCAGTATGGTTGCCAACCTCCAGGTGAGGGGTGGAGATCTCCTGGAATGACAACTGATCTCCAAACTACATGTATCATTTATTTATTTAAAACATTCATTCCACTTCTCATGGCAGCTTTGGAAGGTGGACTGCATGGCATTATACCCTACTGAGGTCCTCCCCTTCCTAAATTCTCTCTCCCAGGCTCCATCTCAGATCACCAGGTATCTCTGAATCTGGAATTGGTATTTCTGAGTTCCTGGGAAGTTCTGAAATACCTCTACTGAACAGGAAGCTGAAGAGAAGAACAAGCAAGGACTGAAGGAAAAAAAACTTTGGGGGGCATTTTCTCCAAATTGATCCTGTAGACAATTTGTCTACATCCGCACTGTTCTTCCCTGGCCCACCAACTGCACACACATAACCATTACCATTCAACAGAACAATGTCTGAGTACAGCGGCACCTTTAAGACCAACAAAGTTTTTAGAAGAAGAAGAGAAGAGATTGGATTTATACCCCGCCCTTCACTACCCAAAGGTGTCTCAGAGCGGCTTACAAACTCCTTTCTCTTCCCCTCCCCACAACAGACACCCTGTGAGGTAGGTGAGGCTGAGAGAGCTCTAACAGAAACTGCCCTTTTTTCAAGAACAGCTCTTATCAGAGCTACGGCTTGCCCAAGGTCATCCAGCCAGGTGCAGGTGGAGGAGTGGGGAATCAAACGCGGTTCTCCCAGATTAGAGTCTGCGCACTTAACCACTACCCCAAACTTTATTCAAGGTATAAGCCTTTGTGTGCATGCCTCAGATACAGTGTGTGCATGCCTCAGATAAGCCTTTGTGTGCATTCCTCAGATACAGTGAAATAGTGAAAATCCGAAGAGGTCTGCATGGACACATCACGAAAGCTTATAACCTTAAATAAAACTTTGTTGGCCTTAAAGGAGCCACTGTACTCAAACCGTGTTCTGCTGCTTCAGACTAACACGGCTACCCACCTGAATCTACCATTGCCATTCAAGTCATTTCTTTCAACCCTTAGCGTTGAAGTGCCGCCCCATTAAACCACGGGAGGAGCCACGCTTTTAAGAGACTGGGCTGCAGACTGAAGGGGGCTTGTGAAGGTTCCCCGTTGCTGCTCGCCTCCCATGTTTATGTCCCCAGGTTGTCCCGTTGCCGCCTTTGATCAAACAAGTTTTGCAGTGTGGGAAATGGCAAGAAAACGCTGCAAAAGTCAGAGGCAAAACCGACGGTGAACATACCCCTTACGGGCAGCGGCCCTTGTTCAATTTTGCAGATGTGTGATGGGGGGAGGGTATTGTCTGCCTCCAGTCTGAGAAAGCGAGTACTGTGTGGGACTGGGGGGGGGGGGGGGGGAAGCCCGTTGCCCCCTTATTTCTCCTGTACTGGCTGTTCTGCCTGCTCCCAATTTTTCCCCCTTCACTACACACCGAGCCCTTGTATGCTTCCATTCCTCTGCTGAATTTCGCTGCTCACAGTAAAAAGCAAGCACCATTATTTCTCCCAACGCACTCGATCCCTACCCACACTTCTCGCAGGCAGCCATCGGGAGTTGCGTGGGTAAGATTTTTCAAGTTGTAGCCCTTCCCTGTTGAGGGCACATAGCCTCAGCTGGGATTACTGAGCCTGCTCAGTTCCGAACGAGCATGCTCAGTAACGGCGAAGCCTCCAATGCGACGGGCAGCGGGTTTTTAACATTAGACCGGCCGGGGTTTCTGGCAAGCGCCTGCGCACGGCAGCTCCATCCAGCAAGGGAACCTTGAATTTCTTCGGGATTCTTGATCTGCAGTGCAGAGCAAAGCAGGGGAACGTGTTGCAGCAGCTCGTGCTGCTGGGTTTCAGAAGAGATCCAAAAGGGATTTAAACGGCAGGGAAAGAAGGCAAACAGGGACCCGTTCACCCTCGATCGTTAAACAATATCTTCATTATCTTTAAAAAACATTTTTTTAAAGAAAAGCTTCACCGTGAATTTGAGCCTTTGCGTTAGGGGACAGCGCACACCGCAAACTGTAAGTGTTTTCTGTACTCTGGGCTGTGAACTCCAGACGGCATGACTCCGGCTTTCCTTTGCACAACTTAGGCATGGACGCAGGGAAATCCAAATAGAGCGAGGCTGGCGGTGCATCATCTGGTTATTTGCAGGAATAAAAAATGAGGGGGCCGAGCAGCTTGGAGGTGGTGACAAAAAGGAGGCCTTTTGTGTGTGTGTGAAGAGTATTGGGGGGGGGAGTAGAGTGAGAAGAGAGAAAAGAGGCGGGAGGAGATAATTGCCAGAGGTTTCTAAAAACCTATAAATAGAAGCGGGCTCTCCCCC